TGATCTCCCTGTTTTGAGAAGTCGGGCCTCAACGCCTGGGCCTGAGGGCCCTTTTGCAGTTCACATGCCCTCACTTTGTTTTGGGGTCCGGTTCCACCAGTGGACCCGTCCAACGCCCCCCACTTCTTTTTGGGGTCCACTTCCACCAGAGGACCGGTCCTTCCTTTTTCTAAAAATCCCGGTTCTACAAGAGCTAGTTGTAGGTAGTCCGCAATTTTGGCATGGACCGGTTCCCCAAATCTTTTGCCCCCTAAGAACCCACTTTGCGTCCCGGTCGCCCGCCGCCAAAAATGTGACACCTTGACACAGACGCCAAACCCCAGTAGACCACAGCCTTAGCGCTGCGAATAAATGATTGTCTACCGGGTGGGCGCGGGGAGCGCAGCCCTAAGGTAGCCAAATCAATGAGACTAAGAGCTCACGCAAGAGAGAGAGAGAGAGAGAGAGAGAGAGAGAGAGAGAGAGAGAGAGAGAGAGAGAGAGTTTTGTTCCATTTATTGTTATGCGTGTGAGAGAGAAAAAAAAAGAGAAACAGAGAGAGAGGGAGGGAGGGGGCTACCAGAGAGAGAGAGAGAGAGAGAGTTTTGTTTCATTCCTTGATACGAGTGAGAGAGAGTGTGAAAGAAAGAGAGAGAGAGAGAGAGGGAGGCGGGGGGCCTACCAGAGAGAGAGAGAGAGAGAGAGAGAGAGAGAGAGAGAGAGAGAGAGAGAGAGAGAGAGAGAGAGAGGCTGGATGACAAAATTGAAATATGGGTCAAATTGCGGCCACGATCTATTTCGCAGTTGGAATGATTTTTTTTAATTTATTTAGCGTTTTTCCTGGAAAGATCACAACAAAATCTATGAGTACTCCAGTTTTCAGGTTTTGTCACGCATTCTTCTGAGAGTGAAAACTCACTGAATTTGGAGTACCTTTTAAGTTGGCCCACACATGGCTGAGTGGCAAAAATGGAAAATGTGCCGAAACGGCGCGACAAGTATTTCTCGGTGTAAATGATTTTTTTTAAATGTTCTAATATTTTTCCTAGAAAGAACACGACCTCATATATGGCTTCTCAAAATTTCAGATTTTTCTACGGGTTCCTCTGAG